TATATATATATATATATATTTCCATATTAATAAAATTTTTTACAGCTTAAGAACTTATAAAAAAAGCTTATAAAAAAAGGAATATATATTCTATCATATATGTATATCTAATACACAGTTATATATTGTTGCGAAATCATTACTATTACAAGAGAAAATTGTATGTACAGTTTGGAACATAATTCTACATAAATGTTCGACAGTATCTCTGTGTGAAGAAACAGAATGAGTTTTTGTACGAAAAATCGAATAACGAATTTGTAATAATCACATGATATTTTAATTATAACTTTGATAGACTGAAAACACACAGGGGCAATCGATATTGGTTACAAAATTGTTCAAAAATTTAATCTGGGGAAGCGAAAGAGAGGATATATTGTTTCCGCAGATTTTATGGACCGAAAAACTGCGCGAATATTGTTTCAATACATGTTAACTTTTGAAATTATAAAACATTACTCTAGAGGGATAGATATTTCAATGGATTTATAAATCCATTTTTCGCTTTTCGCTAATAAATATAAAATGTAACTTAAATCAAAATAATATATAAAGTATGTGTGCGAGATATATATGAATATATTTAAAATAAATATGAAAAATGAACAAACATCTTTTGTAAAGCTTAATTAAAATGTTTATCTTAATATTGTAATACTAGAAGAGATCATAATATTAACCAGCTTTTATATTTATAATAATTGTTTTTAGTACTACTATTTTTGATCTCTATATCATAAGCTTTTATTATAATCTTGTGAATTTTTTTAAATTACTCTAATATTTTCGAAATTTAACGAATATTATAATATACAGTATTTAGACAATAACCACATCATTAAATTGCTTAGAAAATAAACACAAGAATTTATTTGATAAATCCAAGCTTTTAACGCTTATCTTTACATTTATATATGGTATCAATAAATTATTATTGATACCGTATATAAATATAAAGATAAATTAAAAAGAAAAATTATTTTAATAAATTACTCTTAAAATTACGAATATACATAACGTAAATTATTGAAATACTCCCCTCTGCAACAGGAAATATATTTATTTTTATTTCATCCACTTTTCATTAAACTTTCAATATTATTTTCGAACAAAACAAAAATATAACACAAAACGTTTCAATATTCAAAACAAAATTATTAGAGAAATTACATATATAAACGTTATTTTCAATATAAATAGTTATTTATTTTTCTCTTCCTCTCTCTTCCACCCTTTCCCTCTTTCTCTCTCTTTCTTCTTTCCCTTTCTAATTTCCATAATTTGTTATATTTTATTAAAGCTTAAAAATATATGTATATATACATATATATAAATTAGATTATTTTTCATGCTTACATATTTAAAAAATAATATATTTAATAAAATAATACTATAAAATAATGTCATAGTATACGGGCGAGAGGATGGTAGTTATATATAATAAAAATAAATTTATGTACAATAATATAAATCATAATAAATCATAATATATATATCAAAATTCTATATCATAAAAAATTATATAAGCGTCATTTTCAATATAAATAGTCACTTATCTCTTTATTTTTCTCTTCTCTAATTTATATAATTTGTTAAAATCTGCTAAAATTAAAAAAAAAACATAAATTAGAAAATAAAAATAAATATACATATATACTATAAAAAAAAAAAAAACATTTAAGAGAGTAAAGTTTAACATCGTACAACTCTATGTCGAATTTATCTCGATGTCGGAAATCGCAAAGGATTAATTCTGAAGGATGCATCAGCTCACGTCAGAGGCGAGTCAGAGGCTTCGCCGAAAGTTTCTTCCGTTCGCATCTCCGTTTTCTCTGGCGAGAATTACACAATCTCCGATGCGCCTCGATGTCGGCAGCGATAGTGTTTCGTCGGGAACTGCCAAAAAGTCGGCGCAACGAGGGTTGACAGCCAGTAACGAGCAGTTCGCGGCGGAAGGCGGACAATGGTTCCGGCAAAACACAATGCATTATTTAAATTTTAAAAGCCCTTCAAAGTGTCGGCTTAATTCGCCGGTCTCTTTTAGCCTACCTCCGGCTGCGCGCGGTCGGAAACCGCGGGAAAGCGACAAACGAGATCCTCACACGTGCGTCGACACGTGCGTACGTACATGTGCATGATGCGCTCGTAGCTTCGTGGAGATTTTCTCTCACTTTCTCTATTCTTGAAATAATTAATTAAAATAAATGAAAATATTATTATAATATAATTATCATGAAGAGATTGAATAGTAAAATAACTGCCACGTTTATATGACATTTAATGATGATTTAATGACATTTATAAAACGTTCTAAAGATAGAAGAATGTGAATAATAGATTTTATTTTATTAAGTAGAAATGCATGATATGTGCAGACGTGAGTCCCTAATTTTTATTATAATATCTTCAACTGTCAACTTTGTTGTGTTCTATTCTTCGCTTATTTTAGCCAAAATCCCGGCAAATTGAATCGGAAAATGCGCTTTATCAAATTATTTCTTATATGAAATATTCTTTTAAAGCGTAAAAAAGAGTAACTGTGTGTGTGTGTGTTTTCCCAATTACAATTTTAGCCAAAAAAGTTTTTAACAATTCAAATAAAAAAATCGATGGAAGTCAACTTTCATATGTGACAAATTTCACAAATCTCATTAAATTTCCCTGCAAATAGAGTACGTTAGATAGCATATTTGTAACATACGTACCTATACTCTCGCGTAAAAAAAAAGAGAAGAAAAAAGAACGATATATATATGCATACTCCTGATCGTTTTCAATTCACTTTCGCGTACGTGAAATCTGCATTCGTCGCTGAATCGATCTCATCTTTCTCCATATAATTGCCAATATAACCAGCGGCGAGAAGTCGCTGTCTATGCATCCGTGTGTGTTGTATGCGTCGCGCGAATAATCGAGTATACTCGCGTGAGTGAAAATACACACACACACACACACACACACACACACGCATTAAACCGACATGCGCGCTTCGAGTGCAGGATACATACGCGGATACATAGCGAGGATGGAGAAGAGCAGGTTGACAGATTGACGTTCGGTCGCGCTTTGTTCAGCCCAGCGTCCGATGAATATTTCAGGTGCCCGGCTTCACCTGTCAGTTCGCGGGATGCCACGCGACGCGGGGGGGAAGAGAGAAGACAGGGGGCAGAAGGGCAAGGGAGGGGGAGGAGCGAAAGAGAAAGAGCGGCAGAGGCGGCAGCCTGGTTGCTTCTATGTATAGGGGGGCCGTGCCCTGGCGAACTTTCGACCCGAAATGACCTGAGAGAGGCGAAGAAGACGTAGACTCTCCGTCGCGGTGAGGTAGATTTCCACCTTTTCTAGCTTTCTCTCTCTTTCTCTCTCTATCATTCTCGCTTGCGATTCGCTCCATCGACGATGATGAGTCTAATTCCAGAATGCCGATCGATTGTCTATGAATATCAGATAAATTAAGTATTTATTTGTGCACGTGTCCCAGTTCGCGCGCCCACTGTCTGCATGGGGGGGTCGAAGAGGAGACGAAAAAGGAGGAATGCAAATTTTTCTCTCTCTCGTCGTTACTTCCGATTAAAATATCAACAGTATAGTTTCATCTCGTGATTATTGGTACAATTAATTTTACGTTGCGAATAGCGCGCTAATTTGTTATAATGCATAGTTCAATAATCTGTATAAATTAATTGAAAAAAGAGAAAATTATCATTACGAAATATGTGTACACATCCATGTTAAATAGCTATAAATTCTTAATATCGAAAATCTAATCAAAACCGATATACGTCCTTCCTTTCCCCTTCCCATTATCAATTTTTTATTAAAATTCATACTGCTTTAGAAAAGCAGATTTGCACCGCTTTTAAAATAAACGCTTCATATCTCTTACGAGACTCTACCGCGTTTCCGAATATTAATTTCACATTGATCTCTCTCGATGTAACGTTCTATTATTAAAATCTGCTGGAGATTTGCACGTGGAATCGTCTTAAGTAGTTCGCCGATTATTCTTACTCTAATGCGACAAATCATATTAGATATAATTATTCCAAGATAATATATGTCAAGACTGTGATACGCAAATTAGCATACAAGATAAATGATACTTCGCGGTGCCTCGTATGACTAATATGAGATGAAATTATAACACGAATCACATATATAATAATAACATTGAGTCATATTGTATATAACCATAAATATATACGAGAAAAGATAAAAAGAGAAAAGAGAAAAAAAACGACGAAAATCTTTGATTTATAGTTATTCTGCGCGGATGATCTCTCTTCGCGGTCTGTCTGACATTTGGTGTCTTACGATGAAGAAACTGAAATATATGAGCCTTCACGTCGCGAACGTCCAGCCGGTACGATCCTGTAAAAGGCAAGAAGTGGATTTCAGTCATAGACAGCGAACGCAAACTTGAAATTGGCACTTACGATGTACGCCCATTGCACTTTTATTGAATATTCATGCGCCATCACGGTATAAAAGATTGTTGAACCCGCTCAAGCCTGTGGGATCTCGTGAATGAGCCGCCTAAGCTATATAAGGATCGCTGCCGATTGTAAAAAGTGCACACAATTCGCCAAATATAATCATCCGACCCTAAATAATAAAAACGCTTCGTATGCGGAGGACATATCAAGAGACAGTAGTGTCTCGAGCCAAGTCATACGCAACCAAATTCATGCGCATCAAGAGTATCGCGGAATAGTTTAACAAGGAAGAAAAGTGATAAAGTGATAAGAAACAATTTAACGGTTATAAGAATATCGTGGAATAGTGTAAGGAAGAAAAACGATTTCTTCTAATCGATGTCATATTGAGTAAAATTAGGTTATATTAGCAAAACTGAGTGAATACTTACACTTTAGTGAATCGTACATTGTCAACTAATACATCTGTGCAGGGACGGATGGTGACTTTTCGGGGCCTAATGCTAATACTATTTCAGGGGCTCTTTTTCCGGACAGAATAAAAAATTACAATGACGTTAAAAAATGACGAAAAAATTACTATAAAAACTAATTTTTTTATCATAATTTAATCGTTTTCTCGTTATTTATTATTATAATTTTCTGTTTTATCTAGATAACAGTTTATGATAACATTTAAGTTTATGATAACTCTTTCTTGATGAGTTTATAAACGCAGCCGTCATGTCCAACAGGAGGATTCTTACCAAAGAAGACGCAGATAACCCATCTGATTACGACTATACAGAATAATACGTATCTCTAGTCTGATACTATATGGTTCTCGTAAGTGTCGGTTTGGTAGTTGTTTGGGAGTCCCCTTCTTGTTGGGGGCCTGATGCTTAAGCATCGTAAGCTTCTATATAAATCCGTCCCTGCATCTGTGACAAATAAATTGTTGGAAAATGATTATAGAAGCATTAAAGGAATATTTGGAAATTTTGACTGGCCATGTTTTCGATAACGATAAGCTGGTAATTATAGGCGCGAACGCGGTGTTCATGTATAATGTTTATCGCTCTTTTCCGTTTTCTCTCTTTCTTTTGCTATCTTTCTTTCTCTCTTCTTTTTCTCATTCTTTCATCTCACTCTTTGTCGCGTTCTCGAACAATTCGATATTGCTTGTTGAATGTATATACATGAATATATATTTAAAGATATTAATATGTATTATAAAAAAGAATGATATAATCCCTACAAATTTACCTTTTTAAAAAAAGGTAAAAGGAAAGGCACCAAGTACACGCGCTAATTGAAAAACTGTTATACGTTATATACTACAAAAATAATGATATCAAAAAATTACGCCAAATGAAAATAAAAAATTATAGAAATATTTTAACCGAAAACAATTGTACAAAATAGCTGTTTTAATTTCTTACAAAAATAATGATAAAAAGTTGCGCTAACTAAATAAAAATATATTATATATGTATATATAAAACATATTTATTTCCAATATTAAAAGAAAAATTATATCCAATAAACACAAAAAACATAAAATAAAAATTTATTAGAAAAATTAAAACAATTATATTAAAAATTAATACAAATAAAAAAAAATAAAAAAATTTTAAGAAAACTTGGCGATGCTAACTTTCAAATTATATATTAAAACCAAAAAATAATAAATTTAATTTATATTTAATTTAGTTACATCGTAACTGCAATGTAAATGTATTATAAAATATATTAATTACCATAAATAATGAATTATCTATAATGTTGAAGAAGCAATCAATCGGCTATGATATCGTGTATACGATATGATTCGAAGAAAAAACTTTATTAATAAACTTTCATACATGATAGAGAGATGGATCAATTCAACGATATCCCATAAAGAATGTTTAGCCGCTTAGAATATGAATATTTAATAAAACTTCACTGCATATTTCGACAATACTAAAGTATCTAAGAACAGCTTTATGGAGCGATTAGAAAAGAGGCAAATAATGAAAAAAGATTTTATATTTATATTAAATATATAATACAATCGAAGAATTTACTTCGGAAAATAATTAATCCGGTACAAAAGCAAGAAAAATCTCTTGTATTTTTAAATCATAACTTTATAGATAATAATATTTAAAAAAATTTTTCTGTGAAAAATAATTTTTATAAAAAAATAAGTCATATATTTATTAAATATAAGTCATATTTTTATTAATATATTGATAATGATTTCTGATAATTAATATATTTATGATGATTTCTGATAATCTTTTGCAAATTTTTATTTCAGATCGGGCACGCCAAGTATTTGTATGTCACTTTAATTTTAATCCTTTTCGTTCCGGGCCTATCTGATTATGTTTAAACTTATGGTTAATTTCAAAACAAGTCGATCAGTTTGGTGCGAAGCACTTTTAAACTCGAAATTGGTGATCGACGTGATCGATGTTATTGCAATAAGGGCTAAATAGTTTTATGATGTATTATATATAAATGTAATTAATGCGTAATTAATATTTTTAGATCACTTACAAATGGCTAAGCAATGAGTTGCATGTTTATGTTAATATAATAAAACAAATTTTGCGGGAACTATCAGAAATATTACATACACAGTTGAATTAAAAGCGAGTTAGAGCCTGAAATAGAAATGTTAATTAGTTAAAGACGAGAAATAAGGTAATAATTTTGTTTATAAATTATATAATATAGGTTATTTATTTTTTTGGACTAAATACTTTGAGGACAGAGATCTAGTCTATTTAACTTTTTTTGACATAATGGTTGATTTTTTTAAAGCAATGAGAAACGTGAACGTGGAAATTGATGGTTTATTCGGATAGAGCTGCTTTGTGCAATATAATGTTATCGAAGAGCATTAGAATATCTGCCATCGACAAAAAGTAGTTTAAATTTGAATCAAAATGAGGAGGAAGAATCGATTAGTGATGCTAAATTACAGATTTTATTAGAGGAAAGTATAAAAGTTTATAATAATTTGGCAGCTGCGTTGATTAAAACAGAAGCTTGCGATGCAGCTTTAGAAAATGTGAAACATGTTTCAAGATATCAACCACAAAATGTTAAGGCACTATTTAGGAAAGGTATTGCAAAAATCCTAATCATTTTATTTACTATATTTAATCTTTTTTTAAAATAAATTACATATATTCTTGATTTATATTTCACTTATTATTGGAAAATTCAAATATGTATGTATATATATGCGTATCATAAGAACAATACAAATATGTGTGTATATATATTGTGCGTATCCTATAGGAACAATATTGAGACACAAAGGGGAATATGCAAGAGCTTATGCAATCTCTCTTTCTCTCTCTCTCTCTCTCTTTTTTTCTCTCTCTCTTTTTCTATAAGCA